CCTACAAACAGCAAATTATTGCCAATTAACAATGGACACTTTCATAACGCGGATACAGGTAGGCAGCGTCTCGAATATATTGCTCTAGCCATATAATGCCGAAACCACAAGCCTACTGCAGCTTTATCTCTATCGGTGGGAGGTAAAAACTCTGTGCTTCCCGTCGTCAAACGCGCCAAGCAAAGGCATACGAGAGGACCACAATCCCCTCTGGATCCCGGCGATTGCTGTGGCGCGGTCTCGTCTCTGACAACTGTGACATTGAACTTCTTTGGCTTCTTGTGTCCAGAATGACTCCAATACTTAATCCCATCCAAGAATTTAGCCAAATGAGAGCTCCATCCCTTGAAAATATCTCTCAAATCAGACAGTGATATGTAATTGATCATGCTGTCATACACTATTATCTTCAGGGATGGGAGCTGAAGTTGGACGAGAAGCCAGTGACGACGTTCCAAAACAGGGATAAACACCTGCGATCATAAGTAATAATTCATTTATTTGCGCACTTATTTATTAACACCTTTAAAAAATTTTAAAAATAAACACTAACCTTATCGACCTCCCACCATGCAGGATAAAGTTTAGCTTGTCCATTGCCCAACAAAAATGATTCATCTCGTTGATTCTTCAAGTGAACTGCGTGAAAAGCCGTCGGCATTATTGTATATAGCGAATTTTTTTATTTTTCCTAAGCTTCCTTATTATTAGTAGACGTGACACCCACGCATCGATATGCTGTTTTGCAAAAAAAATACATATATTAGTGAATTACATTAATTTTTAAACAAATTAATCAAAATCATATATAAGACAAATATAGTCTTACCTCCCCATCTAAATAGCCACTGTCTTCAACCCCTAATAGCACACCCCACCAAGACCGATCAAGCAACAAAAACATTTCATCGTTGAGTTTGCTGATGTCAGTGTAACACCCTTGGCTCCGCTCATGTAGATAAAAATCAACTGCGGTCTTAGCCCAAAGGGTATTATCCACAATTGTTTCCGGTAGTTGTCTCCTCTCCACTTCAGATACCGGAAGGGTACTAGCCGGTAACTCATACGAGAGCCAACTCTCATCCATCATGTTCGGAACCGGTGGGGGTTTCTCAATACTTCGATATATTACCCCATGTGAATCGGGCTCTGGAATGGTGGGAGGGACCTCTTCAACGATGACAGTGGCCTCTTGAACGGTGGGGGAAGAATCTTGAGTGAGAATAGGGGGCCTCTTGAACGATTGGAGGGGACTCTTGAGGGATGACCGGTGAGTCGGGCTTCTTCTTGCGGAGTCTTCGCACCATTGGGGTGAACGGAGACGTAATAGCACGTCCACGCCGTCTGATGCGTGAACTCCGTCGTGCAAGGAAAACCCGACGTAAAGCATCCACCTTATCGGGCCGCTAAAAAAAATTAATACATAAATCAGTAAATAAACAAACATGATATTAAACAAAGACAAATATGTTTCAAACTAGTATTGTATTCACCCAAATCATTATTCTATCATAGTTCACAAAATGCTCAGATAACATTCCAGAAGTAAGCACTTATATAAACATTTAAAAGGACAACATATATAAACATTCCAGAAGAAGAATAGTTTACTTTCGCAACACGAAACTTAAAATCGCAACGCGAAATGACTATCGCAACGCGGAAATGGCTATCGCAATGCGAAATGAAAATCGCAACGACAAAATCGCAACGCGAAATGAAATCGCAACGACAAAATCGCAACGCGAAACACAAATCGCATTGCGATTTTCATTTCGCGTTGCGATTTTGTCGTTGCGATTTTCATTTCGCATTGCGATAGCCATTTCCGCGTTGCGATAGTCATTTCGTGTTGCGAAAGTAAACTATTCTTCTTCTGCAAATTGAAACTTGAATGGATTGCATTACTTCAACCAAAAGACAAAAACAAAACCAAAAACAAATACTAACAAAAACAGATTGGCAGCAACCGAATGAATTACGAGTATGAAAAATCTTAAACTTACCTCGTTGCGTAGAGTATGAACCTCATTCTGCAACGATGCTACCATCTCACGTAGAGCGGCTACCTCACGCGTAATGTAGACACCTTAACACGCCATGCACCATCGTCTTTGCGTAAAGTACCGACCTCCTCACGCAAGGCATTGACCTCATCACGTAACTCCCCTAACTCATCCCGTTGAGGTGGAGGTGGAGAACAGGGAGATAAACGTCGTGGCATCTTTGCCGGTCGCCTATCTTGCGGTGATGGTGGAGAAGAGGCTCGATGATGTGACAGAATAGGTGATGGCTGTCGTTGTGGAGGTGTATAGCCGGGTCGATCAGATGATGGCTCTGGGTGGGGTGATAGCTCTGGGCGAGGTGATGGCTCCCGAAGTGGAGGCTGCTCATCAACCGTTCCATCAAAAAAACGCTTACTAGCTTGCCACCAATCAGTGGCAAGCTCAGCTTCCATGGGTGTCAGCCTCTGTAGAGGAGTGTTGGCCTCCTAACAATATAAAAGCTCAAACAAAGTTAAATGTGTACTAGTAATAACTTGTTTATAAACATATGGTAGTATTTATGTTAACTTACATTATTTATTGTCGTATACCGTAGTAAATCTTCCCATTGCAAGGTTCGTTTCCTCTTCCAGGAAATAGCCCTGGGAATATTATTTGAAGTTTTTATTGCATATGTCTTCATGGCGGGAAAGGCCTCAAATATCCAAATCTACAAACAATATAATAACAAACATTAGTAATTGTTAAATAATTACTTATAATTTTTAAAACATTATATAAAAATTCTTACCTTAAAGTCCCAAATAAAGCCTGTCAAAGTGTATTTGGAACCATCGCCATGTAAACTTTTTCGATCATCCAAGGCAGACGATAACTTATTCCATGTAGCTTTCCATAAATACGAGCCCCACGGAAACAGGTTCCACGCATTTAGGTCTTCTACCAATTTGATTAGATCATTTGGAATAGGTTGTCTGGCCTCTCTGCCTAAAAAGCCGGCATGCAAAAGAATTAGAAGGCATACTCGGACAATGTCGACGTCATCCATCCGAGTAAAACCATCTTTATTATTCAAAAATCTTGTCAGGTCTTCTACGTGTAGACTCGGCCTCTCCGCTCAGGAAAAACCCAGGATAGCCATGATGGGCGGGTAATGTGTCTAGTGTACCGACCTACATCATCGTGTCCGAAGCGTAGACCGGTGATTAAGCAAAACTCCTCTCGCCCAAAACACGTATACGCCGGTGGAAAATCAAACCATATCTCTTCATCACGATGTTGTATAGTCTCTGGTAGATCTCTAGTCATGGTTTGAAGAAACAGGTGTGTCAACATCGCATCTCCACCGGGATGTTGTACTTTCAGCCATGGCCCGAAGCATGTATCCTCAAACATTTTTCTTTGTGCAGGTGAAAGCTTCGACGCAATTGTTTTGGCCAGGCTGACTTTATTTCTCAAGGTCAATTGAGCCGAATAAAAGTTCTACAAAAACAATAAACATACTAAATTAGATATACCAAAAACTACACTGTGAAGATATACCAAAAACAATAATAAACATAAATAGTAGTAGTTTATTCTTCAAACTTAAATATGCAACACTGTGAAGTAATCGCAACACGAAAATGACTATCGCAACGAGAGAATCGCAACGCGAAACTAAAATCGCGTTGTGATTTGCATTTCGCGTTGCGATTCTTGGTTGATTTAATAAGCAATTTAAGTGAAATGGTTAATCTATTATTGAAATTACCAGTAAACTTATCATCAATTTCAATATGAAAAACCTAATAATAATGCAAAAATTTCAAAAAGAAAATAATTAAAAAAAACTAACCCTCGTTGGTTGATTTGGTTGATTTCCATTTCTGATTGTGAGGGTGGCTCTGAGAGATTTAGATAGACGGATTTCGCCGGAGATGGGGACGGATTTCGTCGGAGATGGGTGAGAGAGTGAGAGATGGAGATGGGACTGAGTTGTGATTTTAGGTTTTAGGTTATGAGTTGCGATTACGGGATATACTGTGGACAGTTCAGTGTTCCAATATATTAATATTCATGTTTGGAATTTAAAAATAAAATACTTGGCCAGGATACTAATGGCGCTTTGAAAATCGCATTGCGATTATGTAAATCGCGTTGCGAAAGTCAGTATCGCGTTGCGAAAGTAAGTATCTCGTTGCGATTTTGTATTATCGCATTGCGATAGTAAGTATCGCATTGCGATTTTCCCAATTCGCGTTGCGATTTACTTATTCGCATTGCGATTTTCCCAATTCGCGTTGCGATTTACTTATTCGCATTGCGAATTGGGAAAATCGCAACGATACTGTAGACCATCGCAACGCGATTTTCAACTATCGCATTGCGAAAATACAACACGAATTTGCGATAATGGAGATCGCGTTGCGAATTAGCGATCGCATTGCGATTTTGTTGGTCATTTTGGCAAATCCGAAAAAAGTTGGTTAAAATCGTATATTATATGGAATTTTTGGTCACTGAGGTTATTTTCTCTTTATATAAATATAAATGTTTTTGTTATCACTCTAAAAGTTTATATGGTACTTTTTTTTATTCTGTCATACAAGATAGTCTTAATAAATAAATATTCCGCTAGGGTAAGGCTAAAATTTATTACGAAATTATTTAATATAAAAATTTGAAATTATAAAAATTTAAAATTTTATTTTTAACATATAAATTATATAAAATAAAAGATTTTGTAAAATTTAAATTTTAAACAACTTGTATATTAAAATTTTTTACTTTAATCACAACAAACATTTTTTCACCTTTCTCAAGTGTGAAAATTAACCTGCTAACGAAAGCTTTGGACATTGTTGGGGGGGGGGGACGACTAAACGTGTCATTTCCAAAATGGGACACGTCATCTATGTGAAGCTATTTTCCGAAGTAGACGGTCGTATCCTATCTTTTCAATGCCTTCACTGACGCAATGTTACGTATCTTTCTCCTTTTCTTTTTCATTTTAAAGTTGGAGGTATGAGGTATCAAATTTCCATTTTCTCCACCAACTTAACAGATCGAAGCGTTCCCTTTTCCCCAATCATGTCTTTTTGGCCCAACAACCCTTTTCCCCAAATGGTTAGATTTCTCTTTACATAATTTCAGTTTCGTTGTCTGTTTTGTTATTCATTAATCATTTAATGATGCCTCGTACTCTGTTACTGGATATGGCTAATTCTCTGCTTCACTTGACAAAACAGGGTCCTCAAGGTGTCGTTTCCATGGACCCGGAGGTTGCACTGGAAGTGCAAAGAGAGGTGACTCGGCGGATGGCTGAGTCAGCAAGGGCCGATTTTGTTGCGTATGTGGACAAGGTGAGGGAACGCACCGTTCTTTTGACAATGAAACGGGACCTACAAGCCGAGGAAGCTCCCAAGGCGAAATTTGCCGACCAGTTCATGGATTTCCTTGATGCTATTGAGAGCGGAGATCCCGAGACTCTCCGGCGTTTCGACGAAAAAGAGATGCAAAACACTATTTTGACAATGATGGACTGTGACGCCGGCGATGAGGGACGACTTGGTTGCTTTTACGGTAAAAGAAACAAGATTGCTCAGATGAAACAGAACAGACCCACTTGGTTGGTTGGCTGATTTTATTTCTTTGTCGTCCTTTATGTAGGAGACGAGGTTTCCAAACTCGGATTGGGACCACTGGGTGTTGAAGAAAAAGTTGTCATGGATGCCATCGGAGCAAGTAGCGGCGGCGAGAAAGGTGGATTTTCCGGCGGCGAATACGGTAAAAAGCTTGTTTTTGTATTCTCATGACTCACCTGGCTGGGCAAAAATGCTCTGCTGGAGCTTTGAAAAAATGATTGAAATGAGGTTGTGAAAAAATCTTTCTTTAAAGTGAGGCGAATGCTATAGTGAACGTCGGAACTCGATCGGAGCACATGGCGTCTCCGGAAGATAGTCGGGACATTTGTTGTTTTCAGATCTTCATATCTGACAACATCCGATGTTCTCTTCTCCGACGTTTCCGGAGGTCAACGATGATATTCCGACCGGGTTTAACTGCAGCAGAGATGAAGGCCGGTCATGGTTCTCTGACGATGAAAAAGCTTGAAGATGCGGCTGCTTTTACCGTCTTTCGGAAGACAAAAGCTTGTGTTTTGACGACTCGCAAAGTGCACTATAGCATTCACTTTCTTTGGAAAAATAAAGTCTAAACCATTTCAAATTCTGAATTTTTTTTGCCACAACCCTAGTTGCTGATTTTGCCCACCCTGGCTGGTTGAATTGAAAGCCAGTCACTTGTTCTGTTCGGAACACATTAGTACAGTCTGCATATAAATTGATGGTTTTGTGGTTGTTGTGTGTACTTTGCAGAGCGTGTGGGAGCCATGGTTGATGCTGTTGAGAAACCAAACGGTGACGGAGATGGAGCCGGAAGGGTGGCGGCTGTTATGGAAACCGCTGCAAGAAAGAGTCATGGTGGGTTCTATTAATTGCATTTATACGCAAAAGCTACACGAATATGTGCTTAGAATTGTCGGTTGCTTTCTTCATTGATGATTGTTGGCTACCAGTTATACTTGAATTTACGGATTGTAATAATTGGCTTGTATCTCTGAATTGCCGCTGGAACTATGTGTTTAAGTTTGCAGTACGGTGGTTACAGGGTTTTGTTTGAAAAAATTTCTTTATATTTAAGGGTGTTCGAGTAAAGGGTAAAACTGGTCCGTTTTAGCAGGATTTTGGTGGTGGCTAAGATTTGAGATGATGTTAGGCAGAGGAGGGATAAGGTGGAATAGCATAGAGTTAACAGATTTTTTCGTATAGAATTGAATCCTTTTCTTGGTGGATTAATTGGTTGTTGAGTTGATTGTGGGTAGGAGGAACACGCTTATCATTAATCTAGCTCCAATGTTTACAGGATGGCGCCGCCGCCATCCCGTACAGCCGTGACATATGGCTTCGGGTGGTGGATCTTAAGGTTTTATGGCTTCTCTTTTTTCCCCACCCGTAACCCTCGACTCCCATTTTAATATCTTGTTCAGTAATGCCATGATCAAGAGAAGCAGCGCAGCCTTAATCTTCATATGATTTTTACACAATAATTAACTTGGCTAACTAATTGCTCTATTTGGTCTAATCACGGGGATTGATATTTATATAGCGGGGATTAACAAATAGATAGGAAAGCTCTTTAAACCCTTTGTTTTAAGCTAAGGAATATAAAATTCTGGTGTTTAATTAATGAAATCAATTGTCATCCCTTATCTATCTTACCCCACAGTTTTATTACATCTGTCAACTAAGCAATGATATTGACAAGAAAAAGTAGTACCTTTTAAACCACTCAGACTGCCAAAATTCTCACTTTCTAATAAAAAAAATAAAATTATTTCGATAAATATAAAAATTTTAAACCCTTAATTTATCTAATATATAATTATATTTTGATAAAATATATAAACTATAAAATGAAAATTAATAGATTTGATTTTAATTCCGAAACTACTTTCCAAACCCAAAAACTGTAAATTTTGACCAACGTTTATAATAATATTCCAAAATTACATTTGAGGATGATCACAGTCCTACGTGCTTTTCCACTTTTAACTTTATATGAAACAAGGCCCCACACAAAAGTATGTCGTTTTCTACCTTTTCTTATTGGAAACAGATTTATTAATTCTAAATTTTAAAATTATAAACCATAAATCTTAAATAAAATAAATAATATTAAAATACAAAATTTTATAAATTAAACTTTATGTAATCTTTATATCAAATAATTTCATTATACTTTTAATAATAATAAAGGATAAAATAAAAGGTTGGTTCCTGGTTAAACATGAACCAAATACATAGGTTTGACGACTAAAACACAGATTAAAATTCCAAAGATGTGGATAAGATGCAGTTGCGGAAGCTATAAAGGACTAGTGGGGGTCAAGGAAATACTAAAAAAATTAAAATATACTAGTATATATAGGTGTTTTACCTAAAACTCATCCTAATAATAGAATATTACCCATCAGATACCATTTCTCCAAATATTACCGATCTAGCACCATTTCTGACAGAGATATAATAAAGCGCGGTTGAGGGAAAGCACATTGCAGACGTGGATGGAAGGTTCGGATCATGAGACGCGCCTTTGCGGTGAAATCTAACACACGGAGAAGGCGTGGATCATGAGGTGCGCATTCCATTTAAATCTCATTGACCCGCCTTTAATACCGCCCAACCGACCGTCCCCCTGCTCTATAAATACCCCTCTCAAATCATGTCAAAAATACTCTTTCTTCATTCTATCTATCCTTTTATCAATCTTTAAATAGGTATTGTTATCGTTTTTAGAAGTTATTTTTTATTATATTATAATCATTTAATAGTTTATTATTTAATTATATTTTATTGTACTAATTTTCTAGTATTACTTTTTGTAGTTATAAAATGGAAGGCGGGTTCTTGAGTTTAGATGAGAATCATATCTTAAGTCATTTTGCCAATAAGACAATAATTTTAAATTGTGTTATTTAATTATTGTGAATATTTTATTTATTTATTTTTTAGTATTAATTTATATTTTAATTTGTATACTATTTATTTAATTAGGTGAATGACCGTATATTAGATCCAGTTATTCGTAACACTAAGTTAGAGATACTGAGTCCTATCTGGTTGTATTTAGCCGAGGCTAGACTCGATGACATAGTGAAATATGAAGGACACTATAATCTAAAACTCAACCTTATTTCTGCACTAATTAAGAGGTGGAGAGCAGAGACACACATTCCATCTTCCGTGTGGGAAGTGCACTATTACGTTGGAGGATGTTTCCATATATTTGGGGCTTCCAGTAGATAGGGATGTTGTTTCTGGTGTGGAGGATGATGATTGGTATTCCTTGTGTGATGAATATCTTGGAGGTATCCTGTCTAATTTAAATGGTGGTCGAATACCATTATCATAGTTGGCTACAAATTTTCAACATTTGAGTGAAGACTGTTCCGAGGAACAAACTAAAATATTTGCCCAGGCTTGCATATTACAATTCATAGAAGAGATCTTGATGCCCGATAAATCTCACAACCAAGTACATTGTATGTGGTTGCGGCACCTCGAAGATTTTCGAGTTGCCGACTCACTTATTTGAGGCTCCGCAGTTTTGTCATTTATGTATAAAGAAATGTGTTGGGGCTCTCTCAGTTAGGCTGTCAACTTGATCAACTTGTTGAGTCAACCCATAGTGGGAGCATAATGACATACCATATACCACGAACTGCAAACACTTAAAAAAATGTGGCATACATTTGTGTAACAACTTCTGAATTTTGATTCTGAGCATCAACCATCATAGCAAATCTTCATCATTGGAGACTTCGAACGTTGTATAAGTTAACAGAAATAGTTCAGTTGGAAATCTATACTGAAGTGAGGACAATCTTCTAGTACTTCCAACATGAACCGTCATTGAAATTTTAATGATTAGCTCCTCAAAAGTGATGTTTCTCTTGAAGGATAAGGTGACAGAATGATTTGATGTGAAGACAACGCCGATTTATCTTCCTGAATTTCTCCATCATAGTAAACAATAACTGAAATACGTCTCATTTTGAGAGTTTGAAAGATTGAGAGTCTTATATATGCAAAACGAATAATTATTTCTAATATATGATCATTTTGCTAATTAAATAAATAATATACGAATTAAAATATATACAAATACTCAAAAAATTAAAAAATATTCACAGTAATTTAAAATAACACGATTTAATATTGTTATCGTATCGGAAAAATGTCTCCATATATGATCCCGCCTTTTATTTTACAATCGCAAAAAGTAATAAAAAAAATTAGTACAATAAAATTTGGTCAAATAAATAAATATGAAATAAATATAATATAATAAAAAATAGTTTTACCTTATAAAAACTATAATAAAATCTACTTAGTTTGATAGAAGGAAGAATGTGAAACTAATTTTGATGTGGTTTGATATTTGGATTCGAAGAGTATTCATAGGAGAGGGGATGGGTGAATCGGCCGGGAATAATTTTGCTATAGTGAACGTTGGAATTCGATCGGAGCACGTGGCATCTCTAGAAGATATTCGGGGCATTTGGACCGACAACATCCGACGTTCTCTTCTCCGACGTTTTTCGGAGGTCAACCATGATATTCCGACTGGGTATAACTGCAGCAGAGAGGAAGGCCAATCATGGTTCCCTGACGACGAAAAACTTGAAGATGCGACTGCTTCGACCGTTTTTTTGGAAAACACAAGCTTGTGTATTGGCGACTCCCAAAGTCCACTATAGAATTCACTTTTTTTGGAAAAATAAAGTCTAAACCATTTCAAAGTCTGAAGTTTTTTTTCTCAGCACTCTAGTTGCTGAATTTGCCCACCCTGGCTGGTTGAATTGAAAGCCAGTCACTTGTTCTGTTCGGAACACATTAGTACACTCTGTATATAAACTGATGGTTTTGTGGTGGTTGTGTGCACTGTGCAGAGCGTGTGGGAGCCATGGTTGATGCTGTTGAGAAGCCAAACGGTGACGGCGATGGAGCCAGAAGCGGCGGTGAATAGGGTGGCGGATGCGATGGAAACCGCTGCAAGAAAGAGTCATGGTGGGTTCTATTAATTACATTTATACGCAAAAGCTACACGAATATGCCTTGGAACTGTCAGTTGTTTTCATCTTTCATGATTGTTTATGGCTTGTAATAATTGGCTTATATCTATGAATGATTACCGGAACTGTGTTGTGCTATATGATAAATACTTGTTTTACAATGGCTTATATCTATGGTTCTTTTCCTATGAGATGCTTGGTAACAGAGTTTTGTTTGAAAAACTTCGTTTGTATTTAACGGTGTTCATGCGATCCCTTTTAGGTAAAACTTGTCTGTTTTTATTTTAGTTAGAAGAGTGAATTTTTTAAATTTTTAAGGAGGAAGTGACTTATAAAATTCTAAAATAAAAAACATATTATTAATTATAAATACAAATATATGCAGATTTAAAAATTTAATAATTTCTTTATGGTCTAACATTCTTGTTAATACATTACCCTTATTTTATTCCAGATTGAAATCTCTAATTAAAAATATAATTCCGTGAACAAAAACTCTAGTCATGATTAATCATACGATGTATTGGTGATGAGTATATAATATAACTATTTAATCAGGATTTAACATGTGTCAATACAGGATCATAACAAAAATCAGTATATGATTAAAGAATTTTATTTATTAATTTTAATTTATTTAATTAAATAATTTTTTTATCTAATCATGAAGTGAAACGTGTCACCACCCAATTGTATAAAAATGAAAGGTCATGAAACTATGCCCGAGAGGATTCAATCCTTAAACCAATTTTGGAAATTCGGAGTGCTCAACCATTGCACCAAAGGCCCTAAACTTAACATCATGTTTTTATCCTTTAAAATTTTGTTCATAGTAAAAGAAAATAGAAGCGAAAAGAAATTAGAATTAGAACAAAGACAAATTATAAAGTAAAAGAGCACATAAATAATTAAAAAAATATAATATTTTTTTTATCTAAATACACTATATATATATATATTAAATTAAATTATAATTAAAAATATAAGATTTTTATATTTTAAATTTAAGATTTTATATTTTAAAAATCTTAAATATATATGTATTTTAAATTATAATTAAAATATTTAGTTTTAAAATATAAAAATATTAAATTTAAAATATATATA